AATTCTGAATCGATTCTGAAAATTCAAAAACCGTTCGATAGATATTGGTTGGGAATCGTGCTGATTAGTTTTTGGTAAAGATCGGCCGGGCCGATTTCTTGTAATGAAGTTTTTAAAAAAAAAAATTCGACGATTTTTATGATTATTTTTTGACGATAGATACCATAGTCTTCTAGATCATACTAAAATATTACGGCCCTACGACAACTGGTTCAGCTTTAAAAATTCGTCAAAGTTTGCAAAAATCAGTATGGTCTTTTTGGCATTTGTCAAAATTAGACTTTTGATCGACGTTTTCTCAAAAACGCCTGAACCGATTTTAGAAATTTAAAAGCCATTTGATGTATTTCGGTGAGGACTATCGTTTGTCAGTTTTGTGCAACGATCTGCCAAGCCGTTTCTTTGTAATTTGAAAATAAGTGTTAAACTTTTCGTTCACATTTAAGCTCATCCTACCGAACCGATTTTAAAAAATCAAAAACTGTTCGAAAGATATTAGTTGGGAATCGTACTGATAAATTTTAGGTGTAAATCTACCGAGCCGTTTTCTTGTATTTTACTGTTGAAAAAAAAATTGAAGCGGATTTTTATGTAACTTTTTTTGGCGATATACATCATGATCTTATAGAACTTACTGAAATACTACAGCCTTACGACAAGTAGTTTAATTTTAAAAAATCATCAAAGTTTGAGAAAATGAGTAGTTTTTTTGACGTTAGCTAAAATTAAAATTAGACGGTTTACTTTGTATAACAATATAGTACTTCGTCTTAATAAACGTACTAAATCATTAAAGTCCTACGGATACTGGTATAATTATAAAAATTGTTGATTTGTGAATATTTGCTTTTAGAAAATACTCCGATTAAAGTGTTCGTTCGTTTTCAATGATGTGTAATCAATCCACTCGGAATACTTTCAATCACTCATAAATTAATTTATTTTTTATTGATTAAGTCGATTATTCACATATGTCGGGAAGTTCATGTAACTTGCCTCAAGGCTAAATACAAAACCAACTAGTTTATATCTGATTCGGTTTTAAGCGGTATATTGCAGTTAATTTTATCAGAAATTACGTAGCGGAATAAATCCCAGTCTGTATGATTTTTGGTTAAATATTTAGTAGAAGGAGTCAGCGCGTTGAAAATGTCAGAATTTAAGTCAAGTGATGAATTTATATTAGTTGATTGATTTGGTATATTATTTAGTATAAAAAAGTTTAAAAAACCGGGATTTTATTGATGTCGCTTGGCCAGTATGTCGGTTCGCCTGTAGATATATGTCTGTAATTGTGCGAGTGCATTGATTTAAGTAGTTCTCGTCCTCTTGGTGTTATTAATCTTGAGCCCCAGTGGGTGTGTTTTGCATTGAAGTCACCTCCGACAATGAATTTGTTACCTAGAGTGGAGAAAAATCTGAGAACTGTACTTTCTTAATGGAATGCCTTGGTGGACAGTAAATTGCTGAAACACATATGTTTCCCACTGGTAGTTGTACAGTTGTACACATATGCTTGTTGCTTGCAAATAATCTTTTTCGTACGGTTCTAATTCGTAGTGTTTGATTTTGTTTTTACCTGTGATAGCCGTACCCCCGTGACCTCTGCCGTCCGGATGCCTACATGAATAAGTGGTGTAATTGTAAAGACTGGAATGACTTCTACTGGTAAAGTACGACTCGGAAATTAACATGATGTCTATTTGATTGTATAAAATAAATTGCTTAAGTTCCTGTGCATGTCGGGCCAGGCCGTTGGCGTTCCACGTGCATATTTTAAGTGAAGTGGCCATTATTAACTTCCCGAAGGAGAATGTTTATGTTTTCATCAAAAAATCCGATTCGCTAATTTTATGTTTTCTCGACGTTTCAAGCCATTCTGAATCGAATGAGACCAAATTTTGGAAAAAGTATGTGTGTGTGTGTTTTTTTTTTGTATAGCGAAGGAAACGCCTTTATGCATCCTAGACTGGTCTTTTGTCTGGGTATGTCGGACTCAATACCGCTCTGGTATAATAACGACTAAAACCCCCGCTTTGCCCTTGCCTCTGGTCCCCATGGAAACCGCCGTTAGGCATTACTTCGTGGGGGGAGGATCTAGAATGTTATAATTCTGCACTTGTTTTATACTCATCTTTTAAGTGGGCGAAATCCCATTCGTCCTTTCTCTTTCCCTAGAGCGCAGGTCAATTAGTACCTCTCTCGCAAATCTGTCTATGGCGTTCCAAGCAGCTTCACTTCTCAGCATCACTTCAACAACATTACCTGGGGTAATTCTGCGGCTCAATGTCTCTTCCACATTGTCCCGTGCAGCACCAAATCGCGAGCACATAAAAAACACATGCTCCTCATCCTCGATTTCGCCCAAACAATATGGGCAATCCGGCGAGCTATCGTGCTTGAACCGGTGTAGGTAGGCTCGAAAACAGTTAGCATTTGCGTAGTGTAATAATTTACTTCGCCATGCTTGCTATTTACCCAGACTTTGATGTTTGGAATGAGACGATGCGTCCATCTGCCCTTCACTGCGACATCCCACAGTTGCTGCCAGCGGTCAATGCTGTTCTGCCGTTCTTCTAATATCAACTTTTCAGAACTCAGTTGTTGATGTCTTCTATGGTAAATTGACCGTCTTTCCTCTGCTAAGACTAGGAGAGGCACAGTTCCTTAAATGACGCACAATGCTTTCGCCGATATTGTGTGAAATGCGCAAGCAATTCTTATAGCACTCAGACGATATATGGGCCCTGCCATTCTACTCAATTTTTGAGATTTAAGAACATCAGCCCATATGGAGATACCATATGTCAGCACCGAAGTAATAACTGACGATAGTAATATCCTTCTGCTTTGTTTAGGACTCCAACATTAGGCCTCAGTCGAGCAAATTTCGTCCTAAATATTGGCGCCTTAGCACTAACGTGTTCCACCTGTTGATTGAAATTCAAACGAGCATCAAGCATCACGCCGAGGTAACAGATGTGAGGTTTTGACGTGATCTCTAGATTTCCTATCTTTAGCTTGATGATCTCTATTGTTTTTCTACTAGTGATAAGAACAGCTTCACTTTTTTGTTGTGCTAATTGGAGGTTCATTGTTCCCATCCAGCGATTAATTTTTTTAAATGTTATATCGAATAGACTTACGATGTCATCAATTTGTTTGGAGACAACTACTATGGCAACATCGTCTACATATGCTGCTAGTTTCACACATTTTGGATCTCTAGTCTCAAAAGGCCATCATACATAATATTACACAGCAAAGGGCCTAGAACAGAGCCCTGTGGCACACCACCTGTTATATTATACTCTTCTGTACCATCGCGTGAATGGTACATTAGAATTCTGTCTGTAAAGTAGCTTGCGACTATATTGCAGAGGTATGCTGGCACGTTCTTGTCACGGAGTGCATTCATAATGCAATCCCAGTTTGCAGAATTGAAAGCATTTTTTATATCCAATGTAGCTACAAGACAGTACTTTTTTGCACCCCCCTTCCATCTGGTTCCCGAATTACCTCCTTGGCGGTACTAACTACCAAGTTTATAGCATCGATAGTTGATCGCCCTTACTGATTGTCTGCTAGGATTGGGTCAACTACTGCAACTATTCTTTGGTGAATTATTCTTTCAAAAAATTTACCCGCTCTATACAGCATGCATGTTGGACCGTAGGATGATGGTTCATCTGGTGTTTTTTTTTCTTTGGGAATAAGCACTAATCTTTGGTGTTTCCATTTTCGTGGAAAAACACCTTCTTTTAGGCATTTATTATATGCATTAAGAAACATTTTTGGAGATATCATAATTGATGTTTTTAAGGCAATATTAGGAATTCCATCTAATCTCGGTGCCTTACTATTTTCAACGCGATGACAAGCTTCCATCAGTTTTTGCAGTGTTATAGGTGGAATATTATTTAGTTCTACATGTGTTACCTGGTAGTTTAAATTAGGTTTTCGTGGAAACAAAGTAGTTACTATTTTATTCAATAGTCGTGGGCAAGTTGGTGAAGGAATTGGCTTTCTTTTGAGGCGAGACATTACAATCTTATAAGGTCTTCCCCATGGGTTTTCTTCGACTTCATCCAGAAGTTCTTTCCAGCACCTAACTTTACTATCTTTGATAGCTTTATTTAGTTGCTGACGTGCTTGTTTATATTCCACTACCAGTTGTGCAGAATTAGTGAGACTATATCCTCGCTGAGAGATCCTTCTTTTCTTTAGGCCCTCTTTACGAAGAGAGCTGATTTCTTCAGTCCACCAGTGCACATATTGTCTTTGATTTATGCCATGCTTACGAGTCATACTGATATCACAGGCTTCGGTTATTCTCTCCATCAGCTCTCTAGTATGCTCATCTGCGTGTTCTGAAATTATAGGTTTGCAATTTAAGACAACTCTCATGGTGCTTTCATCAAAAGATTTTATTTTCCATCCAATGGCTTTAGATATTTTTGCATGTCTTCTAATGTTTCTATTCGTTGATATTTCCCAGGTGATTGTGGTCACTAGTAGTGTAGATATCTAATACCTTCCAATCGCAATTTTCTCTGGCGAGGCTATTGCTAGCAAAAGTAAGGTCTATTATTGAGCTTGCACTGCCCTTGACAAAGGTTGGCTTATCACCGCTATTTAGTAAAACAACATCAAGTGCATTAAAGGCCTCAAAGAGTGCTTTGCATCCTCCACAAGACGATCTAAAAAATCGACAAAATCTGTCAAAGAAAGACTAGGTGGAGCGTAACAGCTGTATAAATAAATGCCATTTAATGATGCTGCGACAAATCCAGCGTTGCTATTGTTAACAACATTTTGGAAACAACATTTGCTACAGGACCAAATAACAGCTTTGGTGGTACTGTCCGTTTCCGATGGCCAATCAGTTAGTTGTTTGTAAGGTTCTGATAAGAGGGCAACATCAGTTTTTATATCTCTTACCGTCTGCATAAGCAAGTCGTGTGCAGCCTCACATTGATTCAAGTTTAGCTGCATTATCTTCATGCTTTTACGTTTATTATTTTCTCCATGGCCTCCCTATATACAGGACATCTGTGAGTGCCGGCATGATGTGCTACATTTTCAGAGTTTCCATTTGCAGCGCATAGTGCACATTTTGCTGCATTTGTACAGTTTGCTATTTTGTGACCTTCTTGTCCACATCTAATGCATAGATTGGTCCGATTCACTTCGCTCTTGCACTGTGATCTATAATGTCCGAATAGCCAGCATTTAAAGCATCGGATTAGTTTCTTGATGATTTTAATTCGACAGTTGACCCATCCAATTTGTATTTTGCTACTTGCTTTGAGCAGATCGTGTACAATTGCCGCTAGAAGAGCTACTAGAGGAATCTGGGTACCTCTATATGCCTTACGAATCCTAATTGCTTCTGCTAGTGTGTTGCAGGCTCCTCCGGTTGCTTTTTGCAGTGCTATCTGGATATCAATTTTTGAGGTTTTGTCATCAATATCTCTTATTTCTATAGTTTCTTGGTGCTTCTTATAAATAACTTTGGCCTCATCCTTTAACACACCAGCAATAGTCTGTTGTAGTCCTTGGCCTTTGTCCGCACTTTTCTTAGAAATAGTTATCAACAAGTCTTCATTTCTGGGGTTTTATTTATTTTGTCTACTGTCGTATTTACCTGGTCATCAGGGACATCGAAATAAGTATTATAATTTCGGATCAATAAGGCATTTGGTTTTGGAAAAATTCTATGATTTTTTATCATTTTATGGTTAGAGTTGCTTCCTTTTTTTCTGTTTCCTTGGCTGAACTTTATGCCAGTCATTTACCTCGATTTGTTCTTCATTACATAGTTCTATGATCGTCTGACGTCTTGGCAAACCATTTTTCTCATTAACCTGATTATTGCTTATATGTTGTGAGTTTCGGTTTCTTGTGGCTTCGCTTGAGTCCTGCTGTATACTTTCTTCTATAAGGGCTGTTCACAACATTGCACTTCATTTATCATTACTTCCGTATTTTCCGTGGTTCGGCCTTTTTCCTCTATCAATTGGTTGTCTAAATCAAAAAATCTTTTAATTACAGCCGCTATTTGCTTGTTTTTATCTTCACTTCTTTATTGAGTGTGTGTGTATGTGTATGTGTGTGTGTATGTGAACAGATTTTTTGCCGTAAATCGACGTTTTCTCAAAAACGGCTGGGCCGATTTCAAAAATTTAAAAGCCAGTCGATGTATCTCGACGAGGACTATCGCTTGTCAGTTTTGTGGGACGATCGGCCAAGACGTTTCTTTATAAATAGCAGAAAAGTGAAAAAATTTTCGTCCACGTTTTAGCCCGCAATTCTGAACCGATTATGAAAATTCAAAAACCGTTCGAAAGATATTGATTGGGAATCGTGCTGATTAGTTTTTGGTAAAGATCGGCCAGGCCGTTTTCTTGTAATAAAAGGTTAAAAAAATTTTTTTCGACGATTATCATTATTATTTTTTTGACGGTAGATACTATAGTCTTGTAGATCATACTAAATTATTACGGCCCTACGATAATTGGTTTAACTTTGAAAATTCATCAAAGTTTGCAAAAATTGGTATCGTTTTTTTGGCATTTGTCAAAATTAGACCTTTCATCGACGTTTTCTCAAAAACGCCTGAATCGATTTCATAAATTTAAAAGCCATTTGATGTATTTCCATGAGGACTATCGTTTGTCAGTTTTGTGCGACGATCTGTCAAGCCGTTTCTTTGTAATTTAAAAAAAAGTGTTAAACTTTTCATCCACATTTAAGCTCATCCTACCTAACTGATTTTAAAAAATCAAAAACTGTTCGAAAGATATTAGTTGGGCATGATACTGATTAGTTTTAGGTGAAAATCTACCGAGCCGTTTTCTTGTAATTAACTGTTGAAAAAAATTTTAAGGCGATTTTTATGGAACTTTTTTTGGCGATATACATCATGGTTTTATAGAACTTACTGTAATATTATGGCCTTACGACAAGTAGTTTAATTTTAAAAATTTATCAAAGTTTGAGAAAATGAGTAGTTTTTTTGACGTTAGCTAAAATTAAAATTAGACGATTTACTTGGTATAACAATATAGTACTTGGTCTTAATAAACATACTAAACCATTAAAATCCTACGGAAACTGGTTCAAATATAATAATTGTTGATTTTTGAAAAGTTGCTTTTTGAAAATAATCCGAGTTAACGTGTTCGTTCGTTTTCAATTATGTGTAATAAATCCACTCATAAATTAATTTATTTCTTATTGATTAAGTTGATTATTTACACATATCGGGAAGTTCATGTAACTTGTCTCAAGACAAAATACCAATATCAACTAGTTTTTTACTTAGGTGATTAAATTGAGCATGTTGCTCATTTGGTCGAGTAGTGTTTTCAACATACCTTTTAATTTTGCATGTCATTGGCTTGATTATTATTTTGATTTTGAACTTAGTCCTTGTTGATTGGGCTGAGGCTGTTTTCTTGTGCGCTTGGGCGTTGTCCAGTTTTGTGCTCCATGTGTGCTTTATTGTCCTGTACTAGTAAGTGATTGATAACTCGTGAGTTCTGAGCTACAGTTTTTTCCCTAAAGGTGGAAATATTCGTAGTTTTTTCAACTATAATTTGCAGGATGATTGCTTGAGCATAAGACACAAGTGACGTTTTCGTTTATTTTTCAGTCCAGGAACAGTCCTTAGTATGGTGATCTCCTGCACATTTTATGCTTCGTAGGTCACGTGAGCAATAATTACCGGTATGTCCTAGAGTTTGACAGTTTGTACATTGTGGGATTTGACGATTATGCCGTTTCGCTTTAACTACTTTTGTTTTATACAGATATTCGAGACTGTAAATATCTGTATGGTTTTTGTTTTGTGCCAGCTCTACGACAAACATGTTTAATGGTCGTTTTGGTTGAATATTGTTTCAGATTATATACTCGTAGCACGTTGTTTATCTCCAAGATTGTTGATTTCTTCTTTCAACATTTCTACATCAGTACTATAATGCAGATTTTTAATTACGATTTTAAAAGATCGGATATAAGGATAAGATATTATTGGCTCTTCGGTAGGAAATCAAAAATGGACACACATTATTAAATTACCTACCTATATAAAGCCGTACTTCCAACACAAACGCTTTAACAATTCAAAGATTCCAAAATAAACTATTAAAAGAAATTTTGAAAGCGCCGAAGAATGTTCCAAAATCGGTTAATACACAAGCTCAGTCAAGGATGGAATAATTGCTTTTTCACATAAATATTAAAATCGTACACTTGCTTGTTAGAAAACTTCACCAATAACTCCACCAGGACCAGGTTGAAAAAAAATTTCTTCTGCATTAATCAACAATAAATATGAACACGGGGTATTCTAATATTGTCTAGGAATAAGATCTTCGGCAATCACTGGCAATGTCAGATGCTTTGTATTTCCCATAGATAAAAGAAGAGTATTTCCTAAATATGGTCAGATGATTTGTATTTTTCCAACGCCTACTGTTTTATATCAATTTTCTTACTCGTTTTATATCAAATATTCTACTCGTCCGTTTCGAGGAAGTTGTAAATACTACTAGTGGGGTGTATGGCATTGTGCCTTAAGGCAAATTGCTGGAACTTCCCGTACCGTAACGAAATGTTCGAGGAATATTTAATGTTTTCGAATAGATTATTATAAATGTTGTAATATTGTCTAATATTTATGAGAATTATATAAACTGAATTGCAAAGTTGAAATTATTTTTTCAAAGTATATCAGAACTTTATTTAGAATTAAAAATAAAATCTGAATTATTTTCGATATACAAAAAAAATTTGAAAAAAAGATTTGAAACAATAATTATTTTTTGCTCTTTATTTTCGTAACTGCTGGACCTGCCTTTGCCAAAAAACTAATCAGCACAGATCCCTATTAATAGGAATCGAATGTTTTTTGAACCATTCAAATCGGTTGATCCGTGCGCCCGAAAACGTGAACAAAAAAATGCGGACATACAAAACACACACACGCACACAAACACACATCCATTTTTTCGGAGGTATGCCAAAATGTTCAGAAACCTTCAAAACGTTTTTGGACGATTACAATAACTTACCCTACGGGAAGTTAATTATCTAATGAAAAATAACTTGTTGAGAATTGTGTTCTTTATATTTATAAATATTAGCCATAAGTAAATTCATTCGAACGATGTATAATCCCAAGTAACGGTAAATGTTGCGAATATTTTGTACATCTGCAAGACAACCCTTAATAAAAGTTTATGATAGCTCATGTACCCTCGGCGAGCTATCATAAAACTAGAAATATTGGAAATATTTTAAACATGTAAAAATATAAGTTAGTTAGTCCTGAACTCTTGAACAAGTAACAACTAAAATATTATAATAAAGCGCTAAATAAATTTTTGTATCTAAATAAATTCTTTGATTTCACACACTTCCAGAAGAGCTACAAATGTTCCAATTCTCGTCGTTAAATATTCCAAATAAAACTATAATCTACTCAAGAAGTTATTAAAAATTGGTTACATTGAATCATTAATTAGTAAATTCATTACTAACGTCTCTTCATTTTGTGGCAGCTTAATCGAATCCAACTCCGAGATAAGAGTACAAATTAATAAAATAAATTAAAAAAAATTAAAACAAAAAGTGTGTGAAAAATATCCAAACTCTTAAAATTATCAAGTGATACAAAAATAAAGTGCTTATCAAATAAATCGATCAAAATCTATATAAAAATCATCAAAATAATTCTAATAAAAAATAATAACTGGAAGATTTAATAAAAAGAATAATAACAAGTGGAAGATTTTGAAGTTTAAAACGTGGGACCAAATCAGGACTTAAATCTACAACCCTGGAGCGACGATCAAGGTGAACAAAACCCTCTATCATAATCAAAAGGAATTCAAGTAAGAAAATTCATATATCATTACAAATTCAAGATGGAGAACCAATCTACAATTTTGAATGGAAACTTATTAGATTTAAATTTAGCCTTAGCTATATTACCGAATTTTATTGAAAACGAAACTGATGTACGTATTTTTATTGATGTATGTGATTCACTGAATGAAAACTTAAAGGCCAGTGAATCACAAAAACTATTTTTAACCATAAAAAGTAAATTCCCACCTCATGTACTAATAAAAATAATACGTAACAAAATTTCTTGCTGGGACTCATTAAAATCATTTTTGTATAAAGAAAATACGGAAAAAACTCCTGTATCAATCCTTCTTGCAGAGTTGCTAAATTATAAACAAAAACATAATGAATCGGTAAAATCTTTCAGTGAAAGGATTAATAAACTATTGTACAGAATTTATGATAAAGATTATGATACACACAAACAGACAGTCGCGGATAAATTGCAAAATGTTTATAACGAAATGGCTCTCAGAACTTTTATTAATGGACTGAAAATGCCATTGAAAAATTTAGTAAATGTTGTAGGTTTGATAATTTAAATGACGCCATAGATTTTGCCATTGCCGAAGATACCGATTCATCCTCAATTTTAATATGCGATTTTTGCAATAACATGGGGCATAGCAGTGGTAATTGTTTTTTCAAAGCCGAACATAAAAATTCACAGATAATTTGCAATTATTGTAAAAAATTCGGTCATACGATTGATCAATGTAGACATCCCAATCGTAAAAACTTTTTCCAACAAACTCAAATCCCTACGGTTCCGCAAATAAAACAGGAAAGTTGTTTATCTATTAATAATCCTAATCCGATAGCTGAAAATAATAAATCCCAATCGAATACACTTTCTTCAGTTCAAAACTCGCCAGAGCCCGTTCCGGGACGGGCATTCATGTAAATAGCAATTGTAACAATATAAATTTAAATTTTCCGAACAGTTATGAATCAATCATTTTAGAAACTACACAGCTACCAAACACTTTCATAATTTTTTAATAGACAGCGGTAGTGACATATCATTAATTAAAGTTCATAACATTGATAAAGAAACTCTCGTATACACAGATAAAAAAATTGAACTCATTGGAATAACATCAAATTCATTAACAACCCATGGCGTTTCTTATATTAACTTTAAATTTTCCGAACAAAATACAGAATTTCCGTTTCAAGTTGTATCAAATCTTCCAATTAAATATTCAGGAATCATCGGTAAAGACTTTTTATTGAAATTTAAAGCAAAAATTAATTATCATTCTAAATTATTTTCACTAGAAATCAATAACCAAGAGTTTACAACCCCTTTAGTTAATTTCGAAAAACATTTAATCCCTCCTCGATCCGAAACAACATTAAAAATCGAAACTGCGTTAAACGACGAAGCAGTATGTTTTTCAAAACAATATGAAAACGAATTGATATTAGCTAACTGTATTGTAAAACCTATTGAAAATTGTTTTTTTATAAATATTATTAATCCTACGTCAGATCGTCAATTCCTTAATTCAAAAGACGTAAACTTCGAGTTATTAAGCAACTTTGATATAATCGACTCTATAAATCTTAATAAAAATAAATCTATCAAATCTAACCAAGAATCAATCGATTTTCAATGTTTGTTCAATAACGTAAATTACAACGATACAATTGATGACAATGACAAGAATCAAAGAGTACAAAAAGTTTTACAATGCATAAAAACTAATCACATGACAATCTCGAAAAGATTCAATTTTAAATATTTGTACAAAATTTCATGATCTGTTTTATTAGAAACGACAAACTGACATATACATACGATTACTCATAGTATCCCCGTCGAAAATGACGAAAAACCCATATACATAAAACCCTACAGATTACCGCACGCTCATAAAACAGAAATTCACCGACAAGTTTCACAGATGTTAGCAGACGATATTATTCAAATTCGCAAAGTCCCTGGAATTTTCCTTTAATTATTGTCCCCAAAAAACCTGATACTGACGGAAATAAAAAATGGAGGATTTGCGTCGATTTCAGAAAATTAAACGCAATTACAAAATCGGACGCTTTCTCATTACCAAACATCACTGACATTATTGACCAACTAGGTAACTCACGATTTTTCACGACTCTAGATTTAGCTCAAGGCTTTCATCAAATTTTACTAAATAAAACTGACCGAGAAAAAACTGCATTTTCTACTACCTGACTTCGACATTTTGAGTATAAACGTTTACCGTTTGGACTTAAGGGCGGACCGGCGACTTTACAGAGACTGACCAATAGAGTTTTATCGGGCATACAAGGAATTAGAACTCTAGTTTATACGACATAATAGTTTACGGGAAAACACTTGAAGAACATAATACCAAGTTACTAGAAGTGCTAGAAAAATTACGACAATACAATCTAAAGTTGCAACCCGATAAGTGTCATTTTTTGAAACACGAAATTACGTATTTAGGCCATTATCGGTGCACACGGTGTGTCTCCTGATCCTGATAAAATGTCCTCAGTCAAAAACTTTCCCACTCCTTCCAATCAAAAAGAAATAAAAATATTTTTAGGATTGTCCGGTTACTACCGCAAGTTTATACAAAATTACTCCTGAATTGCATTACCTCTAACCGATTATTAAAAAAGGACGCGAAATTTAATTGGACCCAAGAGTGTGAACTTGCATTTAACGAACTTAAACAAAACTAATAAATCCACCTTTACTTCCAGTATCCTGATTTCGATCGAGAATTTTCATTAACCACGGACGCAAGCGGTTTTGCATTAGGCGCGTTCTATCTCAAAATGTCGAAGGAAAAGATTTACCAATTGCATATGCATCGCGAACCTTGCACCCCGCAGAAAAAATTATTCTACTATAGACAAAGAACTTTTAGCAATCGTGTGGAGCATAAAACATTTCCGACCTTAACCATTCAAATTGTACACCGATCACATGCCCCTTATCTACTTGTACAAATGTAAAGATCCAAATTCACGGCAAATGGCGGCTGGAGGCTTTCTTTAGAAGAATATGAATTCGATATAATTTATAAATCT